GCCGCGCCCCGAGGGAGCCGCCGCCGCGGCGGGAAGCGGGCAGGGATTTGCTGCCGCCGGCCCCTCCTCCCGCCCGCGGGCGCCCGCAGACGGGGCCGCCCTCCCGCGCCGCGCCGCTCGGGGAGTAACGGCCCGAGCGGGCAGCCCAGCGGCGCCGCTTCCCCGCGGGCGCGTTTGTGGCCGCGGAAACGCCYCCGTTTGTATTTATTTTCCTTTCTTTTTTTTTTTAAATTTCTTTCTTCTTCCTTATTATTATCGAGTAGTCTTTTGAGGGCTGTTTTTCCCCGCTTAATCGTGGGAGTAAAAAGAGAGGAGAAAAATCAGTGTAGCCGTCAAGACCCCTAAAAAGTGAGCACAAGGATAAGAGGGCTTAGTGCTGCGCAGAGAGATGTARCTGAGAGTGGTGAGGTAGAAACTGGTGATAGAAAGTCTGGATATAAGGGAAAAAAATGAATGGGATCTCTTTGCAGGTGTCTGTGGGCTTTAGAAATAAGGGAAAGTGTAACAGGAATATGTCACGATTTCTCCCTTTGTAAGATCATTAACTTCCTAAATATACAGGTATCTGCGTCATAATTTTCTGAAGTGTTTAAAAGTTTGTTCCTTTTGCAAATAAGACTGCGAAACATTTAAGTAAAAGTTTACTGATATTTTGGTGGGACTACTAGAAATAAACAGTTTGAATTTCTAGATTCCCATGCGCTAAGAAACTCCAAAGTACTTAATGCTGCTTCAGTACTCTGAAGCATTTAGTGCTAACAGAAGTTGATTGTGATTTTTTATGTTTGGGATAGGAATATAAAGAAAGCTGGCAGTTATTAACATTATCTGAGATACTGCAGTGGTGATGCTTCTTATCAGGAGCCTTTGCTACCAGTTTGCTTTTAGAGAGTGTAAGGTGGGGCCCTTGCACAACATCCATTTACTGTGCATTGCAAATGCCTTTGAGAAAGATGTAGTACTTTTTGCTTCTTTTTGGTGCCTTTTGTACCAAATACAAAAGAACTACATATCTGGAAAATGTCAACAGTTCTGTATACTTCCCTACTGCCACTCCTAACTTCTGTGTTGAGAATATTTTATTACTGTATGTGATGCCTGGGGTACAGAAAGAACTTTTGAGTTACTGAAGTTTTGAGTAGTGAATTCTGAAGTTATAGTGTAGGTCAGGCCAGTTTGTAGAAATGTTAACCCCTATAATGTGAGTTGGCGGACAGATTTCAACATATGAACTCCCTTTATGGACTGTTCCTTAACTGRTATTTTAAGGGCAATGGACATGTATTTGCTGAATTACTTCTAAAGAAATCTATTGGCAAGTCAGTTTCAACTTCTAGGAAGATAAAACAGAGAAAGACCTAGAGTTTACTTTAATAGCTCCGTTTTTGCTCTTTTGCCCAGTGTCTTTCTACAGGTCCAAGTTTACTGCCCCTTTTCTCTTGGGAAGCTGACAGTCTGTTATGTGTAATCAGAAAACTCTCTGAAATTACAGACTTCCTTTTAATTTATTCTTTAGTATTGTTCCCTCTGTCGCATAAACGCAAAAAAAAAAAGACTGTGACTAATAGTTACAGTTTCTATATATATATRAACTATATTACAATATATTACTATATAACTATAAATAATTTMTGTTAGCACATGTGTAGGCTTGGGAAAAAAAGTTAATTAGTCTGCTTTGTTTGATACTGTGCAGGATGGTGTGATCAGGTAATCAGAATCATCTTCTGATATAAACATTTTGCTCTTTAGGGTACAGCTGTGTGTTCTGCCTTTTTTAAAAGGTACAGATTGGGTTAGACCTAGCAATAGAACTGCAAGAAAGACGATAAAATAACAGGATGCATAAGTATGCGGCACTGTTGTTTTCAATTAAAAGATATTATTGCTMTTGACCCTAAATGCATAAAACTGATTTCACCTATATATTTTTTTTCTTGTTAGTATATTTGCTTGCTTTTCCTTCTGTAATATTTTATATTCTCTCCCACTCCTCTCTCTTTCCACTCTCCTCCCTCCATCAAAACTGTCTGTTGAAGGTGTCTTTTATCTAGTATTATAACTCAGTTATGTGTATTGTACAGTTTTAGCTCTGCCAAAATTAAATAACTAAATGCTGGTTAGTTTCCCAGAGCAAAATGACAAGGACTGTCAACTTAAAACAGATGTAGTCMCTGCAGTGATTTGGTGGTGCTAATGTGTAGTTTTTGTTTCAGCCGAGTTGAGGAACCTGCTGCATCTGAGAAAAGCGTAAATGAAGAAAATGGGGAAGTATCGGAGGGAGACCAGCCTCAGAACAAGCACAGCCGACACAAAAAAAAGAAACACAAACATCGAAGTAAACACAAGAAACATAAACATTCTTCAGAAGAAGATAAAGACAAAAAACACAAACACAGACACAAACATAAGAAGCATAAACGGAAAGAGGTAGCTGATACCTCTGATAAAGAGGATGGACCAGCTAAAAGAACTAAAATTGATTTTTTAGCTCCTCTGGAAGACTTGGAGAAACAAAGAGCATTATTGAAAGCTGAACTTGAAAATGAATTAATGGAAGGAAAAGTCCAGTCTGGGATGGGATTAATATTGCAGGGTTATGAGTCAGGCTCTGAAGAAGAGGGGGAGATTAATGAAAAAGCGCGAAATGGAAATAGACCTACACCTAAGCCCAACACTAAGGGGAAATTAGAACCTGTGGACAATAAAACTAGTTCCAAGAAAGGAAGCAAGAGTGAATCAAAAGAAAGGACTAGACACAGATCTGACAAAAAGAAAAACAAAACAGGAATTGATGGAGTCAAAGAGAAAACAGCAAGAAGCAAGTCAAAAGAGAGGAGAAAATCCAAAAGTCCTTATAAAAGAAGCAAATCTGAAGATCAGACAAGGAAATCAAGATCTCCAACGCTTAAAAGGCGATCTCAGGAGAAAAAYAGAAAATCTAAATCTCCTCCAGAGGACAGGAATAAGGCAGATGACAAAAGTAAATCAAGAGATCGCAGAAAGTCTCCAGTCGTAAATGAAAGCAAGAGTCGAGATCGTGGCAGAAAATCCAAATCTCCAATAGAATTAAGAAGCAAATCCAAAGATAGACGATCACGGTCCAAAGATAGAAAATCTAGGAGAACAGAGACTGACAAAGAGAAAAAGCCAATTAAATCTCCTTCTAAAGATGCTTCTTCAGGGAAAGAAAACAGGTCCCCCAGGAGACCTGGCCGGAGCCCAAAAGGAAGAAGCTTATCTCCAAAACAACGGGAAAGATCAAGAAGAAGCAGATCCCCTTTCTTTAATGACCGTAGATCTAAACAGAGTAAATCCCCCTCTCGAACCCGGTCCCCGGGCAGAAGAGCAAGGAGTAGATCTGCAGAAAGGAAGAGAAGAGAATCGGAAAGGAGGCGTCTGTCTTCACCCAGGTAACTAAAAGATCTCAAGAACCTTCAAAAATACATTATAGGATGAAGCGTCTTGTAGTTTAGTGTTTATCTCTTTGCTTTATTCTGAAAGCAGCTTTTAAAGTGGGCAGGCAAATTGTGCTTGGTTACAAGCTTCCTTTGTATGTACTCAGTTTTCAGAAACACTCCCCYAGCTGCCATATACTCAGACTTGGCTGGGGCTGTTAAGGTTGGGCTGGGTTATTTTTGGTGCTCACACAGTTACTAGGAACAAGGTTTGTACTATGGGTCTCAAGCTTTTTGATTCAGATTTTGATCTTTATTTGTTAGTTAAAAGTTTTGTAATTCTCAAGATTTTTAATGAAGCTGGAGTCCCTTGCCCTATTGCGTGTCATTGTTGGCTAAGTGGATAATTGAAGCCCCAAAATGCTTCATGGTACAATCAGCATGTACAAGTGTACTTAAATCTGTAATGTCAAATTGCCCTTCTCAGTCCTCCTTTCTTTTATTGTCTGTTTCCATTTGCTAGAGGTGGGGTGTTACTATTTTACTGCTTTGTTAGAGGTTCCTCTTGGTGGTGGGGTTAACCTTGTATACTGATTACCATATTTTGCATACACCTCAATGAGAAAGGAAAGAGTGAAATCTTTTATTTAATGTTTTAAATGTATTTTCAATCTTAGCATTTTTTAGAGGCAATTTAGCCTATTTAACAGTTACATAGCGACTGTAGTGTAAATAATCAGGAAATAATTACCAGCATTTCTTTCCCTGAAGAAGAGAAAGTAGGGTACTAACCTTACCCTAGTTAGTAAGTTTTCCATCAAAGCACAGAACAAACGTATTCTCCTTTTTTTTTTAAGCTAATTCATTTAAAGTAATATTT